AGAGTTGGGTGATTACGGTGTTAGCCCCCAAGGGTCCCACGTCGTTCACATGCAATAAAAAGGGTTGAGCATTAGTACAAGGGATTGAGTTTTACAAAAACAGCCTCACCACCATGAGGGACCAGGCTATGTGGTACGCTTTTAGGGCCAGCATGCACCCAACCGCGTAATCCCGAAATGATGCCTTCACTGCATTGACAAACCGGGCGTTGGCAAAAGGGAGCCCGGATCTGTCGTTCCCCCATGAGCTGACCCGCTCATTCCCTCCTACACGCATGCACGACCAGGTGGGGAAGCACGGGGTATGTTTGATCATCAAGAAGTGGGGCAGGCAGGTTTTGGAGGTATGTTCTTGCATCCTGTGGAGGGGCATGCAGGGCGGACGGGTATGTTAGAGCGTCGTGAGAGGCTAGGCAGGGCAGACGGGTTTGTGTGAGGATCCTGAGGTGGGGCAGGCAGGGCAGACGGGTTTGTGTGAGGATCTTGAGGTGGGGCAGGCAGGGCAGACGGGTTTGTGTGAGGATCCTGAGATGGGGCAGGCAGGGCAGACGGGTTTGTGTGAGGATCCTGAGGTGGGGCAGGCAGGGCAGACGGGTTTGTGTGAGGATCTTGAGGTGGGGCAGGCAGGGCAGACGGGTTTGTGTGAGGATCCTGAGGTGGGGCAGGCAGGGCAGACGGGTTTGTGTGAGGATCCTGAGGTGGGGCAGGCAGAGCAGACGGGTTTGTGAGAGGATCCTGAGGTGGGGCAGGCAGGGCAGACGGGTTAGTGACCATGACAGGATGGGGCCGGGTTGAGGTTATGAAAGTGCGATCAGACAACACAAAGGGAATGAGCAAGGGGATGAAAACATCAAATTAGCAACGGGGTTGCTGACCATCAAGACTCACTCGGTTTGTATTTTCGCCACAGCCTCCTCTTTCTCTTCATGCTCAGCATGAGCTCAGCTGCACGCAGCCCATCCACCATCACTCCGAACTTCTCGAGCACACTGCGCTTGACTTGGAAGCCCCGTTCATTCTTCCAAGCTGTCCACACGCGCTTAAAGACGGCAACGACGTTCTGGTCTTTCTTTGTCTCTTTCAGCTGCATGTACGAAATGATGTGGGTCTCACTGATGACGCCATATAGAACCTGTAGTCGCTGATCAAAGGATGGGTACCAATCAATCGCATGGTCCGGCGCGTCCATGCACATCCGGTCCCGCGCCTCGACAAAATGAAGCTACATTGGGCGGGAGGCGGGGGCAAGAAGAAAACAGAGGCGAGGGGCAAGCATATGAAATGTGGGGCAGGCAGAGTGGGTTGCAATTAACGTCCATGACAAAGGGTGGCTGGCACGGGAGTTTATAATGAGCAGGAATAACAGACGTAGGGCAGGCAGAGGGTATTAGAAACGTAATGCAAGACGTTGTGGGTTAACATGAGCATGAATAAGATTGAGGCAGTGGGGTTACGAATGAGCATCAATAACCAAGGTGGGGCAGTCAAAGGGGGTTAATATGCGCACTCATATCACTGTTGGTATACATACCTTTGGTTTTGAAAGCCCCGCAGAGTGCCCCTCACACTCACCCTCAATTTCTCGAGGGTGGGCATTCCATGCCTGCGCCGAATGGGCTGGCCCTCTGTCGGTGTGCTCTCCTCAGCCACCCCGGGACTGAGGCCCCCAGATGATGGGTCGCTCGCCATAGGTGCCAGAGGAGGAACCCGGGAGGGAGGTCCGCGGTTTTTGCAAACTGGTTTTGCTTGAGGGCTGCTATTTCGCCGTTTGCTAGCTCGAGCTCTCGCGTGAGCTGCTCCACCGTCTTGGGGCCAGCCGGATTGAGACGACCTGATGCACCAGGCGTGCCCATGCTCTCACCCCTCCCCTCCTTCGAGTGTGCATCCCTTTTCCAGGTGTAGTCGACGCCCCTTTCGTCACGTTCATCGTACGGAGACCCAGCCATAACTCCGCCACAATCACCCAAGGCATTTGCCCACATCCCACCAGCCACACCGTCGTTTGCTGCTGCGGCCGTTGCGTCACCGTATCGTTTTGGCACCGTCTCGCCTCTATCAAGATCCGGTGAACCCCGTGTCACGACAGGTTTCGTGGTTGGGTCTTCACCATCCTTGTTATGACGCCAGGACCCTGTAGGCAGCGGGTCTGCTCCTTTCCCAGCAGTTAGTGATGGCCCTCTGAGAGCAGCGTAAGGGTCCTCGCGATCGTCACGCCTCCATCGGGCCTGATCCTTACGATCAAGAGAGCTAGTGGGAGCAGCAGTTGCTTTCACTCCCATCTCCGCATAGAAATCAGGCTCGGGCTTCACTTTGGCGCGCACATGGACAACCTGGGCAACGCCACGCCGGCGACCATTGTTGTTATGCGATTTCCCACGACTGTCTCGCCCCTTGCGACCATTGTCACGACCCTTGTTACGGTTCCTCTTATCCTTGCCCTTCTTGGGCCGCCGATCACGCCCCTTTATTGGGACGCACCTCATCTGCCTCCTCGCTTTCGGGCTCCAGATCCTGATCCTCACTCTCCTCCTCCTCCTCCTCCTCCACGTCCCCATAGACCTCCTCGCTGCCAGATGAGCTACCAGATTCCTCGTCGCTGGATCCCTCCTCAGAACCAGACGAGGAGCTGGAAGCGTAGCGTTTCCGTCCCTGGCGAGCCTGCCTCATTTCTCTGTCGTGACTGCCCGTATCAACCACATTGCGCCGCTTGTACGTAACTTCATCCGCTCGTCCCTTATTCTCCCCGTTACTCTCGCCCTTAGCGACTTCAGTCCCTCGTCCCTTTCCCGCCCCATTCCTGTCGCCCTTAGCGACTCCAGTCCCTCGTCCCTTTCCCTCCCCATTCCTGTCGCCCTTAGCGACTCCAGTCCCTCGTCCCTTTCCCTCCCCATTCCTGTCGCCCTTAGCGACTTCAGTCCCTCGCCCCTTACGCTCCCCATTACTGTCGCCCTTAGCGACTTCATCCGCTCGTCCCTTAGCCTCCCCATTACTCTCGCCCTTAGCGACTTCAGTCCCTCGTCCCTTACCCTCGCCATCATTGTCGCCCTTAGCGACTTCAGTCCCTCGTCCCTTTCCCTCCCCATGCCTGTCGCCCTTAGCGACTTCAGTCCCTCGCCCCTTACGCTCCCCATTACTGTCGCCCTGAGCAACTTCAACCCATCGTCCCTTACCCTCCCCATCTTTGGCATGCCCAGACTGAAGCAGGTCGTCACCACCAGCCACTACCGCCTTCTCCTGCTGATGAAAAGAGCTGCCCCTCTCCACCGCTCCCCTCCCCTTCTTGCGCTTTGCTCTCGCACGGCAGTGACCCTTCTCTTCTGACTCGGCTGTGAAAAGCCACAACAGAGCGAAATGAAGTCACACGTGACGTTAGCGGGATTGGCAGTAACAACATATAGGCATCCCAGAAATTACGCAATGAGCGAGAGAATTACTGGTGGAATCTACACCACAGGTACCTTTCTGGCCTTTCTTGGAGTTTAGTTCTTCTAACTTATTCGTACGCGTTTCCCTCCGTTTCGGGGGCGAGGAAATAGCTTTGTTTGCGTATGGCTCCTCATTGCCGCCACGGCTTGAGTCGTCTTCAGATGAGGAATCGCCCCTTGACTCGCTATCGTCGCAGGCTTTGGATGGATGTCTCCTACGATACTCCTTGACGACTTGGGCAGTTTTCTCTGCTGTTACTACCTCCATATATCTCTTCTCATCTGGCGATTTGGTAGAACAAGGCAACTCTACAGCAGCAACCTGCGCATTAAGGGTTTGATCCAGAACTGTTGGCTCTAGGTTCTCACCCATGAGGGGCTACTAAGTGTACATAGGACTAAGATAGTGACTGGACTCAGCGGCTGATACTAGCATTAAGTATCAGTGGGTTGCTGAGGTCCGAGTACCAGAAAGTGTGGTGGAGCAGGTGTACGTGATCCAACCACTACGTATGAGCAGCACAGGCTGATGAGGGTTTCAACATGGGGTTGCAAGAAGCACGATGGTCCTCCCAGATCCTTTGCCTCTCTAGAGCACAGATCCATGGTTTGCTACTGTAGATGGGAGAAAGTAAGACGGACACGGTCAGAGGTGTTGATGCAGTGGCCCATCCGAGTGCATAAACTGCACCCGTGTTCACGCCACTGGTTGTTTAAAATGTTGGATTTCATGCGCGCGCTACTGACTGTTTTCCCTCTAAGCGCGACAAGAACGGTCTACAAGAATTATACCCGTGGCAGCGAGGTGAGAGTTTGCTCTGCCCGACTGCCTCGTATTGCTGATTTACAGGCGACGCGACAGACGCTGCACGTATATTATCACAATCGTCACGTACAATGTCCGATGAGCATCTGTGACAACTCAGTGACCTACGTGAGGGAGGGACGGAATCGAACCTGTGGTCGCACAAAGTCGTGCAGCCAAGGACGACAGGTCGACACCGCGTGACTGTGCGGGGGAACACCTGAAATCGCGGAGTTGAGAGTCGCTGGACAGCGATTGCGACTCGGTCGCTCATCTTGCTGGCATGATGAATGCAGGTGGCGTAGGCATTAGATGCGTGGCCCATCCAAAGTGGTGCACGTATATACGCCAAGTCCCGCTATGCAACTGTAGATGTATGTACTACCCTGATCGAATATAAACGGTAAGTATAATCGGTTTCAATATCCTATCATGTGGCTCATACATTCCAGACTAGCCTTTATATCACAAGGGACAGACAGGATAGTTACAAATTACCATCCAAGAAACATCAACATGATGCACACTGTGACAATCTGGTTACTCGTTTAAGGCCGCTACTCGAGGCAACGTGGCTTACATTTCGAAAATACGTGTGATTTTCTTACAATCAATAATATCATCAAGAAACCTTGATCACATCAAGTGAGACACTTGTTCTTCTTCACGATAAATGGAGACATACGGTAGCCAATAGCCTTTTGCAAAGCCTGTAGGTGAAGAGCCTTTTTTTTTAACAACATACGGTAGAAGTTCAAGGGATGAGTGTGATGACCAGGTCCACTCTCCATTCACCGCACCTCTCCGTTCTTAGCACCTCGACGAGTTCTCAGAACCTCTCCGTTCTCTCCGCCTCTCCCCTCACATCACCTCTCCGTTCTCTGCAACGTAGCGTTCTCTACACATCTCCCGCCTTTGCACCTCTCCCTTCCCTGCACCTCTCCCTTCTCTGCACCTCTCCCTTATCTGCACCTCTCCATTCCCTGCACATGTCAATTCTCTGCACCTCTCCATTCTCACTGCATCTCCATTCACTGCCCCTCTCCGTTCTCAGCACCTCTCCATTCTCAGCCCCTCTCCGTTCTCAGCACCTCTCCATTCACCGCACCACTCCGCTCTCTGCGCCTCTCCATTCACTGCGTCACTCCGTTATCTGCACCTCTCCCTTCTCTGCACCCCTCCCTTCTCTGCACCCCTCATTTCTCTGCACCTCTCCCTTCTCTGCACCTCTCCCTTCTCTGCACCTCTCCGTTCTCTGCACCTCTCCCTTCTCTGCACCCCTCCCTTCTCTGCACCCCTCCCTTCTCTGCACCTCTCCCTTCTCTGCACCTCTCCCTTCTCTGCACCTCTCCCTTCTCTGCACCTCTCCCTTCACTGCGTCACTCCGTTCTCTGCACCCCTCCCTTCTCTGCACCCCTCACTTCTCTGCACCTCTCCCTTCTCTGCACCTCTCCCTTCTCTGCACCTCCCCCTTCACTGCTCCTCTTCTTTCTCAGCACCTCTCCCTTCTCTGCAACTCTCCGTTCTCTGCACCTCTCCCTTCTCTGCACCCCTCCCTTCTCTGCACCTCTCCCTTCTCTGCACCCCTCCCTTCTCTGCACCTCTCCCTTCTCTGCACCTCTCCCTTCTCTGCACCTCTCCCTTCACTGCACCTCTTCTTTCTCAGAACCACTCCGTTCTCTGCAACTCTCCGTTCTCTGCATCTCTCCCTTTTCTGCACCTCTCCATTCACCACACCTCTCCGCTCTATGCGCCTCTCCATTCACTGCGTCACTCCGTTCTCTGCAACTCTCCGTTCTCTGCACCTCTCCCTACTCTGCACCCCTCCCTTCTCTGCACCCCTCCCTTCTCTGCACCTCTCCCTTCTCTGCACCTCTCCCTTCTCTGCACCTGTCAATTCTCCGCGCCTCTGCATTCACTGCACCTCTCTGTTCTCAGCACCCGTCCGTTCTCAGCACCTCGACGTTCTCAGAACCTCTCCGTTCTCTCCGCCTCTCCTCTCTCAGCACCTCTCCACAGCAACTCTCTATTCTCTGCACCAGGGTTTCGTCTCTGCGTACGCCGTCTTCGCCCTGAAGCGTAACGCCTTAAGCGTGTGTGCAGGAAAGCGGAGCAGCACACAACAAGACAACCCACCGTAAGGGAATCCAGTACATAAAGTATGTTGCTTCACCACTCCACATTCGCCGGCCCATCATCTACCATATATGCTGCACATTTATCCATATTTCATCAACAGGTTCATCCCGCTGACTAGCAGGCAATGAAACCAAGGTGAATATCAAAGAGGAGTACTACATCGCAAAACAAGATGGATCATCATCAATGACACGGTGCCTCCTGAATCTCACGTGCCTAACATGCCTCACATGCCAGCACCATGCCTCACATGCCAGCACCATGCCTCACATGCCAGCACCATGCCTCACATGCCAGCACCATGCCTCACATGCCAGCACCACCTCTCACATGCAAGCACCATGCCTCACATGCAAGCACCATGCCTCACATGCGGGAACCATGCCTCACATGCCAGCACCATGCCTCACATGCCAGCACCATGCCTCAGATGCCAGCACGATTCCTCACATGCCAGCACCATGCCTCACATGCCAGCATGATTCCTCACATGCCAGCACCATGCCTCACATGCCAGCACGATTCCTCGCATGCCACTCAAGTCTCACGCAGGCTCACATGCCACACGCCTCACATGCCCCACGTGCCTCATGGGCCTCACATGAGCTCCGCCTCGCATGCCTCATGCGCCTCAAGCCGGACATGCCTGCCTGATGTATCAAATGCCTCACATCCCTCCCATGCTTCACACACCTCACATGCCCTTCATGCCTCACGTGCTTCACATGCCTCCTCCTTCTCCTGGTTCAACTCCTCCTCCTCCTCCTCCTCCTCCTCCTCCTCCTCCTCCTCCTCCTCCTCCTACTCAACTACCTCCTCCTACTCAACTACCTCCTCCTACTCAACTACCTCCTCCTACTCCACTACCTTCTCCTACTCCACTACAATGGACCAACAGGCCAGTTGGTCTAACCGGTCCAATTGACCAACAGGCCAGTATGTCTAACCGGTCCACTGGAACAACTGGCCAGTTGGTCCAACCAGTCTAGCGGACCAACACGCGAGTTGGTCCAACTGGCCTAGTGGACCTACACACGAATTGGTTCAACCGGTCAATTGGTCCAACAAACGAGTTGGTCCAACCGGTCCACTGGACCATCTGGCCTGTTGGTTTGTCCAACCGGTCCACTGGACCAACATGCCCATTGGTCCAACCAGTCCACTAGACCAACATGCCAGTTGGTCCAACCGGTCCACTGGACCAAAAGGCCAGTTGGTCCAACCGGTCCACTGAACCAACAGGCCAGTTGGTCCAACTGGTCCACTGGACCAACAGGTGAGTTGGTCCAACCGGTCCAGTAGATCTGCAGGCGAGTTGGTCCAACCTCTACCTTCTCCTACTCCACTACCTCCTCCTTCTCCGCTACCTCCTCCTTCTCCTCCTGTTCCTCCTCCGCCACCTCCTCCTCCTCCTGATTCAAATGTTGGTTCAAAGCATTTTCGAGGAAAAATACAGACCACTTCTTCAAGTCGCGAAGGTACTGACGGCGCCACTTACTTGGTGTACCAACAAGCTTACACGCACCGAGATTATGGAACTTGTTTTCAACAAGTGTATGCATCACGCGCATCGTGAACACGCCGCAATCATTCTCATTAGCCTGCGACGGAATCTGACACAACACAGCGCACAAACACATGGCTGGTCAAGGTGGGACGTTGGTAAGTGAGAATGCATTCAAACAAAAGGGATCACTGGTCACCTTGACGACGCGCAGAGGGATACTTGCGGCCCAAGCATCTGCGTCCGATTCAATGATCCAGGTTGATACTCTCATCACCTCGTTTCTTAAGTACCTGAAGGACGGAGCACAAAGGTACGATTTAAAAACACGAATCCAACGACAAAAACCACGCCATGACGTACTCTGACGGTACCTTCGCAGTGGGGCGTCCACGGATTCGTGTGATCCGTACGAATCCGCGTGCCAGAGAATGCAGGACATGGGTATGTTGTCATCTGGTTTGGGAATTATCTCGATGACGACCAAGCTCCAATGATTCCTACGACAAAGTGACGAGAGTGATTCTGTTAGTAATAGACGTTGCTAGGTTATTTAAATATGGCTTGAATTTACGCTACTGAAACCCACTCGCTGTTGATAGGGACTAGAATGTATGTGAAGTCGAAAATCCCCAGCCCAAATGTATATGCGTTTTCGCGCTTCGAAGTGACCCTTCCAGCATAGTTCCAAAAGTAGGATCCACTGTAAAGCCACATTTTGTTGTCGCGACCGTGCTCGTACTGAAGCATCCTGCGGATGGTGAGACACAACGCATTAGACGAGGAGTAGGACCTCCAGATTATCCTCCTTTGACTTCTCCTGAAAAAAAACTCTATACTCACACTCCCAGCCAGTCGATGACGACTCCGGTCACCCATTCGCCGTGTTTAAGCTTGTTAGCGTGCTCTGCACTAACATCTAGCCATCCTCCTCCAAATGGGAATGGCATGCTAATTGGATGAAATCGGGAATCACATGCTGCTTCTCCTGAAGCCATGGAATTGCTTCACCAGCGACGCAGAACATTGCGTGCGGTAGTGGAGTTCGAGAGCGTGGTTCGAGGCTCACGTTTTGGTGCTGCCTCTGGGCCCTTCCGATTCCAAGGGACGTAACGTGGATCTAACATACCGTAACGTGATTCATGAATTGTTGCTAACTCAGGGTTCCCCGATTGCCTCGCCTCCCCCCACTAGTGACTGTGCTGAGGTCCCCGATTCCCGCTGCGATGGAATGCCCAGTCAGCTGTGGCCAAGCAATGTGCGCTCCTAGCTTCTTGGAAAATAATGCGAGAAACACGTAGCTCCAACGCGATGTGATTGGTTTCTACGATCAGATTTGTGTAACAAAATGCAAGTGGGCTGATTAGAGTTCCAGACTCTGCCTAAGGTTGCGGGGGACTGTGCGGGATCATGTGTGATTGGTCGAATTTTTAGGGTTGTCAGAATCAAGTCCGGGTTGGTGTTTGGCCGCCGACCACGTGTATCCTGCACACACGATATCCTGGAATCTGGGAGTGCCTAGAAACTTCAAGAGGCTCGGCAGGTTTGACTCAATAATTACCCCGCTGTTGAGTGTTTACACACATACCACGTTGTCATCTGGTTGTTCCGCTTAGAACAATCAATCCGCAGCGAGGGGCTGTCCGACCGTCTTTGCAATGTGGGGTGCTCTATAAGCAGCGCTTAGAAACATGACAGATGTGGACCACTTTCATGCCCCAGCCTGCCCGGGATGTTTGTTGCGATGGAGGGCAATCCTACATGACATGGCAAGGTGTGATTTCCGAACATACGGGGCCAGTCTGCGAACTCGATTTCCGCCAAGATAGGCCAAGCCAGTTAGAGCGTGTTACGTACCCCCCTTTTCGGTGGCTGGCCGAGGCAACCGAGTGACGGTTGAGGAACCAGCAAGTTTCACCGTGCATTACCTAAATGGGTTTATACTTTAACGCAACAAACCGAAGTGTTTTCAAACTCAAAATTGGCCGGTCGAGGCAACCAGCACAGGCTGACGTAACACGCTCTTAGATCCCAAATGGAGTAAACCTCTCGACCAGTATACGTTTTGGTGCTACCAATCTTATCTCATGAGAGGCACTTGTTCCCTTCTTAACACTCAATCACTATTGAAACATGAAGGGCCAGGTGTGCGACTGTGGTGATGTCTTCTTCTGCTATCAGACCCTGCGAAGCCACCAATCCAATGGAGATAAGTGCAAGCTGAAGCAGAAGAGAAAGTTGCGTTTAAAACAGTCGAGCCAGAAGCATAAAAAGCTAGGAGATGCTTCGGGATCCGTCCCCGTTTTGATGCCTGCGCCGCTTCCGCGACTCATTCTGCATTTACCATTGACGGAAAACGCTTACAGGGTAGTACCCGTATCAGAAAAACCTGGACAGTCTGCTGACGCGCCTTGCGAAAGTACCCTTGCTGTGGTACCCGACGACGATGATGAGCCCGTTGATCTTAAGGCTGAAATATGCATTCTGGCACGGAAACACAGGCTTACGAATGGAGCTATAACGGACCTTATAGATCTGTTCAGGATCCCGGGCATTAGTGTTGAGCACCTACAAGGCTGGACGACTTACAGGGACCTTGAGAAGTACGAAAGCAGCTTCGAATTGGGACCGGAGCATTCTTGGCAAGTGGCGGAGATTGATGTGGATCACGAAGTGGGGTTCCTCACCTTCAGATTTCGCGATATTAATGTGGTGGCTCTGGCTTCATGCAATGAGGTGTCTCGTGAAGAAATTGAAACCCTCAGAACGAAAGATACTTCTCGAGTAAGTTTCAACAAGACACCACAGTGGGGTGAGGGTCATAAGGGCAAGAGAGAGGAGCATCGAGGGGGAACCAGAGGGAAGGATGGGCACAGAGATGGAAGGAGGGGCCGCACGAAGTGAATGATGGGCAGAGAGCATATGTAGGACGGGCAGAGAGAGTGATATCCGAGGCAGAAAGAGCCACGACGGGGCGTGAAGAGGGAATGAGGGACAGAGGAAGGCGCATGTGGGGCAAAGAGTGGGAAAGTGAGGCAGAGAGAGGGACAATGGGGAAGAGAGAAGGAATTCGGGGCTGAGAGACCGAAGGCGGGGCCGCGAGAGGGAAGGCGGGGCCGCGAGAGGGAAGGCAGGGCGTAAAGAGGGAAAGAGGGGCCACGAGAGGGAAGGCAGGGCGTAAAGAGGGAAGGAGGGGCCGCGAGAGGGAAGGCAGGGCGTAAAGAGGGAAGGAGGGGCCGCGAGAGGGAAGGCAGGGCGTAAAGAGGGAAGGAGGGGCCGCGAGAGGGAAGGCAGGGCTTAAAGAGGGAAGGAGGGGCTGATGGATCAAAGCATGGGCAGAGAAGTGAATGCGGGGCAAAGAGAAGGAAGGAGGGGCAGAGAGAAGTTACTTCGGGGCAGAGTGAGAGAAGGCGGGGAGTGAAGAGGGAATGGGGGACAGAGAGAGGTAAGGGGGGGAATGGAGGGGGACAGTGGGGCAGAGATAGGGGAAAGAGGGGACAGTGGGGCAGAGAGAGGGAATGCGGGGTAGAGAGAGGGTAGGAGGGGCATATAGAAGTGAATGAGGAGAAGATATTGGGCCCGATTCGGAATAGAGGGGAAAAGTGGGGCAGAGAGAGAGGGAGGGTGGGGCAGAGAGGGAATTCGGGGCGGCGAGAGGGGCGGAGGGCAGAGATAAGTGATCGCGGGACATAGAGCAGGCAGGAGGGGCAAAGAACTGAATCAGGGGCAGAGTGATGGAAGGAGGGGAAGTGGGCAGTGAACATGCAGGAGGGGCAGAGAGAGGGGAAGTGAGGCAGAGAGAGGGACAGTGGGGAAGAGAGAGGCAATTCAGGGCGGTGAGGGAGACGGAAGGCAGAGAGAAGTGTATGTGTGTCTGAGAGCAGGCAGGAGGGGCAAAGAAGTGAATTAGGGGCAGAGTGAGAGAATGCGGGGCGTGAATAGGGGATGAGGGGCAGAGCTAGGTGCACGAGGGGGAAAGAGAGAGGGAAGGAGGGGAATGGAGGGGGACAGTGGGGCAAGGAGAGAGGGATAGTGGGGCGGAGAGAGGGGGAGTGGGGCAGAGAGAGGTACGGTGGGGCGGATAGAGGGGAAGTGGGGCGAAGAGAGGGAGAGTGGGGCGGAGAGAGAGGAGGGTCAGATAGAGGGAAGGGGAGAGAGGCATAGACGTCTCCCTATTTGCATCCCGGACGTTCAGACGCTTCAAGTCCCAGTTTCCACACCACATTCCTCTGGCCGGAGGGGAATAGACAGGGAATGTGGGGCAGAGTCCGCGTTGGAGGGGTAGCGTGGTGGAATGCAGGGCGCTGAGAGAGAGAGGTAAGCGGCAAAGGAGGAATGGCAGGTAGAGAGAGGGAAAGAGACGGAACGATGGAGGAATGCGGGGCGGAGAGGGAAAGATACGCATAAACGGAGGAATGCTAGGGTAGAGAGAGGGAAGGAGGCGCAGCGATGGAGGAATGCGTGGCGTTTAGAGGGAAGGAGGGGCCGCAAGAGGGAAGGCAGGGCGTAAAGAGGGAATTTGGGGCAGAGGCAGGGAAGGAGGGGCACAGTGATGGAAGGAGGGGCCGCACGAAGTGAATGATGGGCAGAGAGCATGCAGGACGGGCAGAGAGAGTGATATCCGAGGCAGAAGGAGCGACGGCGGGGCGTGAAGAGGGAATGAGGGTCAGAGGAAGGCGCATGTGGGGCAAAGAGAGGGAAAGTGAGGCAGAGAGAGGGACAGTGGGGAAGAGAGAAGGAATTCGGGGCTGAGAGACCGAAGGCGGGGCCGCGAGAGGGAAGGCGGGTCCGCGAGAGGGAAGGCAGGGCGTAAAGAGGGAAGGAGGGGCCGCAAGAGGGAAGGCAGGGCGTAAAGAGGGAAGGAGGGGCCGCGAGAGGGAATGCAGGGCGTAAAGAGGGAAGGAGGGGCCGCGAGAGGGAAGGCAAGGCGTAAAGAGGGAAGGAGGGGCCGCGAGAGGGAAGGAGGGGCAGCGAGAGAGAAGGAGGGGCAGAGAGAGGTGAGCGCGGGGCATAGGGAAGTGGGCGAAGAGAGGGAAGTTGACACCTTGAGGAGGAATGCGGGGTCAGGAGAGGGTACGAGACAACGCCAATGAGGAATGCGGGTAACGAGAGGCTAAGTGACGAAGCCAAGAAGGGATGCGGGGTAGAGAGAGGGAAAGAGACGGAGCAAAGGAGGACGGCGGGGTAGTGAGAGGGAAAGGGACGGAGGAACGGAGGAATGCGGGTATAGAGAGTGAAGGTGGGGCAGAGAATCTGGGACATTAGAAAAGAGTGAGGGGTTTCGGGGCAGCGAGAGGGAAGGAGGGGCAGAGAGAGGGAAGGAGGGGCATAAAGAGGGAAGGAGGGTCAGAGAGAGGTGAATTCGTGGCACAGAGAAGTGAAATTGGGGCATAGGGAGGCAGGAGGGGAATGAAGGGGGAATTTAGGGATGAGAGAAAGGGAGATTGGGGCGGATAGAGGGCAGGTGGGGACGAGAGAGGGAAATTGGGGCAGAGAGAGGGAGTGAGGGGCGGAGTGAGGGAACGAGGGTCAGAGAGAAGAAAGGTGAGGCATAGAATCTGGAAAAGTGGGGCAGAGGGAGGGAAAGTGAGGCAGTGAGGGAGAAAGTGGGGAGATGAGGGTGCGGTTTCGATAAACCCAACTACTCCCCCCCCCCCCCCCCCCCCCCCCCTCCACCTCCCTTCCTCGCCCCCCTCTCCACCTCCCTCCTCCTCCCCCCCACCCGCCCCACACCCCAAAACCGATACCCTCGTTGCATCCCGTACGTGCAGACACAACAAGATGATTAAGGCAGTAACCCCTGCATCTTTGCTGAGGCTCCCATCCGCATGGGCGTACTTCACCACGACGGCTTGCTTCTCAGCGTCGGAGCACCGTGCCATGATGCAAGTGCTGCCCCTCATCATCGACCTCCCCGAGCGCGCTGACATTCGACATGCCATCGTGCTCATGTCTGATTGGTACAAGGAGTTTATCCGGGCTGAGTATCACACCGATGCCTCGCTTGAGCGGATGGAGGAGGTCTCCTGCGAGTAAGTATAATGTGAATGGATGTGAGTGCGTTGCGCGGAGGGAAAGAGGGCCAAAAAAGAGGGTTGGAGGGGCCGTAAGAGGCACTGTGAGGGCGTGTGTGGGAAATGGGGGCTGACAAAGGATAGAGAAAGGCAAAGATAGGGAAGGAAGGGCCAAGAGAGGGAAAGAATGGCGAAGAGAGAGAAAGAGGGGCAGAGTGAGGGAAAGAGGGGCAGAGTGAGGGAAGGAGGGATATCCCAGGGGAATGAGGGGCTGAGAGAGGGAACGAGGGGCTGATAGAGGGAACGAGGGGCTGAGAGAGGGAACGAGGGGCTGAGTGAGGGAACGAGGGGCTGAGAGAGGGAACGAGGGGCTGAGAGAGGGAACGAGGGGCTGAGAGAGGGAACGAGGGGATGAGAGAGGGAACGAGGGGCTGAGAGAGGGGAACGAGGGGCTGAGAGAGGGAACGAGGGGTGTAGAGAGAAGAGGAGTGGCACAGAGTGAGGGAAGGGAGGGGCAATTAGAGAGGAGGGGATGAGAGAGGGGGCGAAAGGAGGTGAGAGGAGGGGGGAGGGGATGAGAGGAGGGGAGAGGGCATGAGAGAAGGGAGGAGGTGCAGATAGAGGGTATGGGGCACGGTTTGTTGTAAATTGCAAACCCTTGTTTATGTGCGTGCGCACGCTAAACCTCTCCCCACCACACCAATGTTCCAACCCTGTATTTTCCAATCCACCATAACACATCCCATCCAGGATGGTCGATGCGCTTGTTCTAGCGTTTGACAACCAGAAGTCGAAGTGGCTTATTGTGAAGGTACATCTTGTATCGCACCTGCCACCGACAATCCGCGCACGCGGATTGCCGCAGGAGTACTCGTCCAACCGGTACGAGCAGTCCCACAAGACAACAGTAAAGCGCCCCTCCGGTGGCACCAACTGGAAGGGCGTGGAAGACCGAATTGTGAAGAAGCATGTCGAGCAAGCTGTTGTTCGACAGTTGTCTCGAGCTGCCGGCGGGGACAAAACCTACGAGACAGCCATGAAGGAGGTGAGCTTGGATACAACCTAGCCGTTTTTACCCACCACTAGTCCCCCCCTGCTCCCTCCGCCTGCTACCCTCCATGACTTCCTGTTTTGCCCCTCTTTGCTTGAGCCCCGCTGGTCCCGCCTCTTGCTATCCTAAACCCTTAACATCCCGTTCCGCCCCCACATGCTCCCCCACTTGTCAACCCATGGATGTTTACCCCGCTGCACCTCTTGACAACCTGTTCCGCCCCCACATGCTCCCCCACTTGTCCACCCACTAATCTTCTTGTTTTTGCCATCCTTGACATCCCATTCTGCCCCCACATGCTCCCCCACTTGTCCACCCATGGACCTAAACCCTATTGCTCAACCCCTATCCCTCTCGTTACTCGCCCCCCCCCTGCTTGGCTCTTGTCCACCTATTCTCCCTCATGTCGCTGCCCCCTTTGACCTCTCGTCCCTAAACCCTATTCCCTCCCACTCGTCCCTAATCCCTCCTCCCTCCTCCTGCTGCCCCCATTGTACTCAAGTGCTTCCTTGTTGTCGCCCCCCATGTAAACCATGCATCCATCACCCTCTTAAGCCAGGCTTGCACGCAAGGGCGCCGGGTGATGACCAAGACATACAAGAAGATGATCGTTGGGCACATCACCGATGATGTGTTCAGGAGCTATGTCCTTGTTCACGGAGAAGAGGCGATGGGCGCCCTGAAGAAGCGGCTGACCATGGAGGGAATCCGCGAGCCAGTGCTCAATGTGAGAATAATTAGAATGCTTATTGCAAGTGTGTGTGCAGCCTCTACCATCCTGTTAAACGCATGCAGCCTGTGACTAGTTTTAATGGGGAAACCCAGCCATGGAAACTTGTTGTATCAACACACTTTTCAGCACCCCATCCCTAAGAACTCTAACACTCCCCTTCCATTGTTGTGCTGTGGGCATACTCGCAGGTGCACACAGCCATGGCAATCCCGCCGCACGACAGGATGGAGTGGACCGAGAAGGGGCAGTTTGTCAAAGCAAGCCCTGCTGAGAGGCACTTTTCTGATGTGGCCATTAATCCAGCTGGCAAAGGGGCCAACTGGTACGGCCGTTGCTTGCTGCTGTTCCATTACGAGAAAAATGGGGTGGCAAAAAAAGGCTGCCTACATCGAGTACTACACGGAGGATCGGCGTGTCTGCCGCTACACAGGTTGCAAGCGATTGCTGCCCACGAAAGGCACCTACAACTATGCAGTTGTGGATGCAGATTGCATTCTTAGCATGGTGCATGTTGTCCCGTGCTGCAAAGACCCTGATGTGAAGTTGCTCAATAGGTTCAGTTGGTAATGCCTTCTAGATTGCTACTATATTTTTCAAACCATAACATTATGTGATTATTAAACAGACAAACATGCAGTCTATATATTGTTTCAACAAACAACGTTTGACAAACCAATTATTGAAACATTGGTAAACCATCTGCAAAACATCAGCAAAACATTTGGTAATCCAGAAGTGCAATACAAATGATTTGTAAATGATTCCTAAGGGATTGTCAAACGTTTTCTAAACCCTTGCTACAAAATCAAACGGTCGAATGATTTACAGACACACACATTTTTGTGATGTCCTCCTGCCGCCCTTCCTCTTGTACCCGTCGCCTTTGCCGCATGTTGTCTTCGGATCCTGCATTTCCGCATTGCTTCCCCCGACGATCTCCCACCGGCCGTTGCATGTGCCGTTGAATTTCTCCCACAGGCACTGCGAAATCCAGAAGCACTCCCCGCCGTAGTAATAACGAGAAATGACTGTTCTCGCGTCCCTGACCCATCGAACCTAGTACAAGTGACAGTAAGGGGAAGATCCAGAGCGCTGGCTTGAATGAGTATCACGGGGTGGGGCTCCTCGATTCTCGCTGCTGTGATTCAGTTTCGGCTTCGAATGAAGATTCAAGTGATTTTAAAGGGGCATTTTCTTCTAGCGAGAGCTTTTCAGAGAGGGCAAGGGGGGAATCTCCCCCGGAAAGTTCTCTCCGGCCAGAAGGTCGTTTCGGCTGCTCTGTCATCGGATCAGCCAATAGGACGCGAGAACGACCGCTACCAGCAGCAACAGAAACCCTCGATTGCCTAGGATATCTGTTCGCGAAGGCATTTCGCGCATAGGTTCTCG